GCGGCTCCATGGCGAAGGCGGCCATCTCAGCCCGGGCAGCGGAAAAAGACCCGCACCAGCTCCGCCGGGCGCTTTCAAACAGGACGGAACTTCCTCCCGTCGTCACTTCCGACCCGCCCTCCTGCCATTTTGTGAGCGGCCACGGCGGGAGATGTCCCCAAGCAGGTCGCCTCGCCGTCGCCGGGGCTGTCAGTGTAGCAGGGCCAGCTCCTCAGGAGAGGGTCGGGGTTTGCCGGCTTTCCTCGCGTCTTGGCACCGCTGAGCTGCCCCGTTCCCCCCCCCTCCCCGCACTGAGACTCTAGTGTGAACTGCAGTAATTACAGACACGACTTAGAGAACCGCAGTTATAGACACAAACGCTTGTCCTGGATGATTTCTATGGGCTAAGAACTTGTAAACCTGCTACTGAGGTGAAGTGGTGAAGCTTACTCGCCAGGGAAAAGACTGTCAGTCATTCCCAGGGTTGAGGCACGCACATCCATTCACATCTGAAATGGAAATAAAGCGACCGGTTCCCCGGTGGAAATTGGGAAAGGATGACCACAGAATAGCAGTCAGATTGGGGGTAGCAACCTAAACCTTGCGTTAGTATTTAGCATGAGCATTTAATATTGAGAACAAGACTGTAGTTCACACACAACAACATGCTACAGTTCAAACTAGTATACCGCATCAGTTACTGAACCCAAACCTTTCAAATCACTTTCGCACAAAATTTATCCAAATGCTGTTCTTTTATTGTATATTAATATATCAAACCATTTAGAATTGGCATGAAGGCCACAAAAAAGGACTATTAAAATATTTTACATGTTTTTTTTAAGCATGCCATCTTAAAACAGTAATTTCAGCCCGAGACCTGTCAGGAGGGTCAAAGTTGCCTGTCCTATGGTGTCTGTTCTTTACACGTGATGTGGAATGGAGTGAGGGGACAGCAAATAAGGCTCAAATGCAAAGGAAAAGCAGTAGCAGTGAGTCAGAGATAGGTTGTTACACTTTTCATATCTCCACTGAAATGATCTGCAAGAAAAACCTGATAACCTGGTTCCGGCACTTGTAAAACACGTTAGTGCACTTCAAATCACTACTTAATAAGAAACAGTAGAAAGACATAATGCGTTAAAGCATCCTACACATTTTGACCTCAAAAAAAAATCTGTTTTAATTTCCAAAAATATTTAATGGCTGACTAGGCTGCAAAATTCAATAAAATCCTCTTCAGTTGCAATACAAATTTAAAATCCAATACCAAGGTAGTTTATTATATTAGCTAGATTTTACAACCAACTAGAATACATAAATTTTGTTTAGTATTAAAGTAAACAGAGCAACTTAGTTAGTTTATTTTCTTTATTACCTGCATTATCTGATGGTTCAAAAAAAAAAAAAAAACAAACCCAAACAACCCAAAACCATCAATCTTCTAATATTTCAAGAAAAACTGAACTTTATTTTTTTATTAGCACTCTAGAAAGAGCTTGTTCTTGGGCAAAAGAATCTCTGAAGTCAGTGGAATACCATTTGGCCTTTAGACTACATGCTGAAAAAAGGGAGCCAAAGGGGTAAGAAAAGAAATATGTAAGGAATTTAAAATGCACATGTGAAGGGGGACTGCAAAATGAGAGATTAAAGTACATCCAATATCTGTTACTGTACAGTCAAAACAGGTTGTTTTACTTCTCCTTTTTGATCATTCGTGATCATTTATGCTTCCATTTGCCTTTATATTCTGTTCTTGGTACTTGTGAAGCTGCTTCATGAAGCCAGGATTTGGACAAGCCACAGGCCTTGCATTTTTCACCAAGGAAAAGGCTCTAGCAAAACTCAGTCTCTCCGAATTCATTAGAAAACCAATGACTATTGCCGCTGCACGGGAGACTCCTGCATTACAGTGGACCAGTACCACACCATCCTTCAAGAAACAAATGAAACATGAGTTGGGAAATTCATTAAGTAGATTGCAACAAGTATTAGAAACCTGATGTAAAAATCTATTAAGACTTATTAAAAGCTCCTTGCTGAGCTTAAAGCAAATATTGATGCATATAAGTAACTCCAAAGACAGATAAATAAGTCCAAAATTAAATACTTTTCTAACCAAAGCCACTTTATAATATAAAATACTCCACATCTAATTCATACCTTATAACTAAAAAAAACCATTCCTCTGTCCCTTTGCCCAAGACCCTGCAGCAGCCCCCCCCCCCAATTTAAAAACCAAATCACAGACATCTGGGATGCTACGATATCTGATCTAACCAGGTGCCAATTTCAAAATAGATTTTATTTACAATATGGAAAGAAACGCATCTGTATCTTGTTGCCAGGTTACAAACACAGCACGGCAGCAAACAGCTAGACACAGAGGCAGATTTTAGAACATCTTGCAGTTCCAGTCACACACTTCTTGCATACTCTGGAGTTCTTCAGTGAAGATTCTGGGTAAGCAAGATCATGCATAGGAACAGAAAATCAGAAAAGATGTCGTGTGATTTTCAACAAACCTCTACTGCCCCATCACACCACTGGTACAACTGTAGTGCCTGGTATAGCTGGTGCAACAAAAGCCCCTTAACTGGGGACTAAGGTGCAAAATCCAGTGTTTTTTATAAATTCACAAATATGTCTCTTGGGGGTTAAATTCAGGCTCATCCTGAATTACATTTAAAGTTAATGGCTTTCATCCTACTTAAACATTTCCCATAAGAACTTTGAGACACCTGAATGACTCTTCAGAAAGATACTGTGAGTTTGATCGAGATGTAACGGGCGTGAGTTAACACAAAGACAACTTGACAATCTCATGTGGCTTAGGCAATGTTTTCAAGGCCCAGGCTTCGTGATGTTGTCATGTTCATACAGACTTGGTCTGAACTGTCTGCCAAATGTCACTTTCACCAAAAAAAACCAAAACAACGCCCTAGTATCTCCATATTCTGAATAAAGATACTGAAACACAACACAATGTGTTCAGATACTGGAGACTATATATAGCCTCAAATATACACTAAATATAAACAGCCTGCTCTGTTCACCCTTAACAGGCACAAATTACTCAATGGACATTTTATCCAGAGGAAAAAAAGACCTTGTAACCACCAGGGTACCTTTCCAGGAAGTTTATGACTTATATTACAGACCTGGGAGTTGTAATTATCTGGTATATTAATAAACACACAGAACAGAAAATGGTTTCTGTTCCAGAAATATTCCAGTTTAAATAAGACAAAGAGGTATGAAATAGTGTTATTTTCCTTGTTGAAGAAATGCCAAGCTGAGACTAGAAGAATGACTTGCTCAAGTTAACACAAGACAATTATGGCAGAGCAAGGAATTGAATCTAAGCTCCTGCATCCCAGTACAAGGGGTCACAAAACCACCCTTTTTGGGGGAAGGAAATCACATTCCCTTTGCATTGTCTGCTGGAAACTGTCATCTTCATTCACTTTCTCACACTCACAGGGGCACGCTGCCTGGTCATACAGACTACAGCAGAGTACAAAGCAGACCTGTACTTGTATTTCAACTCAGTGGCAACCTGTAAATCCATTATCTCCTTTATAAAAATGACATGAAAATTCTGACATGAAAAATTATATCATGAAGCAATTGCTGAAGCTTATCCACTGTACATCTGGAGTAGTTCTTACTGGTTTCATGGGAGTTTTCTCAGACCTAATGTACGGTAATTCAGATCAATATCTAGCAGTGGCACTGAGGGTAAAAAATAAGCATTGAAAGTGATCAATTTTTTTCTTTGAGTTCATGGTTTATTTTCCTCTTCCACATTTCTTCTAAGGTTGTTTTATTTTAATGACTGTTCTGTTGTACACTGCCAAAAATTATATAGTAATATCCACAGTAATACCCACTTGAAAACTATTGAACATTAATTAATATGGGCAGTAACATTAAACCAAATTTACTACTGAGAACATTTATATTCCCTTGCTAAACCCTGTTTGTTCTTTATACAAAGATGAACTTGGCATTTAATTCTTAACTAAATTTGTATTAGATATGAATACAGACTAAAAGTTAAAAACAGACAAAATTAATCTTTATTGACTAAGAACTCCCTGCTGTGATGCTCATAGCCTAACCTTCACCCACCTGGAAACGGTTCATGGTCTTGCAAGAAACTCTTTAAGATTCAAGACCAAGGGGTTTTTTTAATTTTTATTTTTTATAAAATAAGGAGAAGCAAAATCACTGTCCATCAAGAGAAACAGTTATTATACACAGTGGGCAAAAAGCCCTACTGAGAAAATAAATGAAAAAGAAGAATAAAGCTTTTGTGAAGAGTCATGGGCTAATGCAGTTCCTTAGGGATCCACTTCACTTTGCAGTAGTGCCAGGGCTTTCTCTTTAGGAGGGACAGAGGGAGCAATAAGGAGAAATGTTCATGAATGAGCTAAGATTGCCTCCCTGGAATGGCAAGATTTTAGGGGTTTTTTAATTAGATATTAAACAGAAAGAAAAAAAAATCCCTCACTCATAGCTCTATGATCTGACATGGGTCACCTCATGTATCATGGAAAATCTGCCTGCCAATTTGGGGCCTAGAGGAAAAGGTGAGCTCTGATCAGTATCAGAATTTATACCATGGTGTCTGCAGACTTGAGCAGTTGCACTTACACAAAAGTCAGTCCTGTTACAAGTACCAGCTGGCAGTGACTTACTGAACAGCACAGGCTTTATGTGCATCCTCTAATTCAAGTGCTTTCATACTCCTTCATTAAGTTAACTATGCTTTAGTAATAATTTCTCATACATCATGCTCTCTCAGCAGCGAGCATCTCTCCCTACCCACATTAAGAGATGAAACAGTACTATCTTTTAGTGATTACTTACACAGAAGAGCACTTCATGGTACAATTTATCATAGGCTCTTTTAGCACTATTTTGACAAAGCAAATAAAGTGATTCAGATCTGTCTCTGCATACTACCATCACATGCTTCATGAACCAATCCTGGAGAACATTATTCCATCAATTACCTGCTCTTTTACTCAACTCTCCCATTAGAAAACTATTAATATTAATATTGCTGTAAAACTTTTCAGGAAAACTCTTTAGCTTACAAAACAGTGACTGGAACACCAGAGGCAGAAAGCAACACCATGCAGTTATGAATGGCAAGTCGTGTTTAGAAATGAAGTGGAAACCGTAACTAGAAACCTTGAAAAGGTCATTAAGTGACAATGTGTATCACATAATCATAAATGATAAATGAGGGAAGGAAAGAACATCGTGTGAAACAAAGAAAGCTGGGGCAAGTTTATCTTCTTTTATCCCAACCTACGTAAATAATGAATATGGTAGATATGGTGGAATAACGTGCAAGACGTTTTGGTTGTCAAGGCATAGTGTTGATATCAAAGCAATGGTTGTCATAAATTACACACTACGCTTGAATTTAACAAATAGGAGGCAAGGATGGTCTCGGTTACAGACAGGTCTGCCAAGCAACTCCAGGAGTCCCTTCACCTTATTTCCTATGTCATGTCTTTTCCAGAATTTTTCTAGCAGTTAAAGTCTCCAGTTGGCTCCAAGACACATTCTCGGGTAGTCATGGTACATAATTGTATGTGGATTCATAGCTCAATGTGTTGCATTTTCAATGGATGATCAAGGAAAAGCACAAGAATTGGGGACAGCTGCTGACAAAGCACAGAGATCTGTAAAAGGCCCGTTAGGCTTGCTCCTAATCCAAAACATCCTTGATGGATAAATTATAGAAAGTAAACAAGTTTCCCTCTGTCAGATGTAGTGACTTGGACTTGTGATGGGATTTCTTTATCTGAAGTCAGCCACTGGCCCAATTGTATTAAAGGAGCATTTCTCTGAAACATAGGGTAATAAATAATCTAAACAGGATAACTAGTAGCATTAATTATTGATATACTGTACCTGGATCTTGGCTTTCTCAATAAACTCAAAACATTCTGGGAAATAGGAGGTAATATCAGTTTCTGGGAGGTCCAGAATAGAAATGGTTTTGTATATAAAGTCATTAAGGAAGACATTTTGGACTCCATATGCCACATTTAGAACATGAGTAACCTAAGAAAAAAGAAAAAGGTATTTTCTGAAGACAGCAAGCAAAATCAGCAGGTGGATTATTCTTCAGGCATACAGAGATCCTAACTTACACAACTGCATTGTTCAGTCTTACATACATATGCTCTCTCTGATGTGCTTTTGTCGAAGCAAAATTTTACTGCATGTTAAAGTATACTGTGATAAATTCCAGTATTCTTATTTTTTTGAGATGAAATTAAATGATCTGTCCTCAGCCAAACACAGACTAAAGTAAGGATTTTCAAAAGAAAAGGGGGTTGTCAGCACACAGATAGAATATAAAAGAGAGCACAACCATCCAACAATCCCCTAAATTTCAAGCCTGCCCTAACCTATCAGCTCCTCCTACTGAGTTACCAGTCCTGTTTACTGGAGCATAAGAATTTCAGAGTAAACTATACCTGCACTCAGCAGGCGAGACCACCTCAGCCTTCCTGCCATCTTTACCCTGCTCAGGCTACAGCCAGGCTGTAGGTTATTTTAACTTACAATGACGTGACATTTAGATGGCACCAGATGCCAAACTGGTGCACTCCCTGTCCTGGAGAAGCACCACCGTCCAAAGGCCTTATCACCTCATTACTGTAACAAAGAAGAGTAAAGACCAACGTTCGGGACAGACTTAGAGCTGCTGCTTTGTTTTTCTTGTTTCATCAGTCCCCACAAGGCAAGGAGCCCTGGTGCTGCTTAGTGTCAGACACTGAATTGCACAAGGCAGGAATCCATTCCATTAAACTGCTCTGAACAATCATTAGTCTTGCAGCAAAGTATTTCAGCTTCTTGTGAAGCTCGCAGGCATCCCCCCATCTGTAAATGGAACAGTCTTTTGAAAGCGCAAATGTAATACAATTTTTCTTAAAATTACTTCAGAGTATTTTAGACTTTTCAACTTAAAAAAGAAATCCATTGGCAAGCACTACGCCAGATGCATTTTTATTTGCGTGTAACGTTACCTTATGCTTTTTCATCGTCTCCAGGTCGTGAGCAGCATCCTGCGACCCTGAGAAGAAACCGGGCTGGTTGCCACGCTAAACTCCTCACCGGCATCCAGCACCAAACC